GCCCGAGGGAGATTGTTTTGTTTATGGACGGTGTAAACACACGTTGGTGTTCCGCGCCCTGTATCACGGGTAATACGCCTCACTAACTAATCTTGTATCTCTAGTCATAGCTCCCCCTAGATACTGGGGGAGTTCTGGACTTTACATATCAGGAAAATTCCTAGTACAGTGGAACCTCGGGTGACGAGTGGCCCCATCTTCGAGCATTTCGGGTAACAAGAGATCTCGCAGAAAATTTGTCTCGATTGACGAGCTTCTGCTCGGTTAATGAGAAAACTATTTTGCGCTTACTACCATTCCCACTGGTTCTTGCAAATTTTTGGACGTCTCCGATGATCTAAATCAATGAAATTTTGTTTAAAAAACGTTAATGATATTGAGCTGTAAAGGGGTGACTGCTGTAATGTAACTGCTGTAAAGTGACTGCTGTAAAGCATTGATTCTTTTTTTTTTTTTTTTTTAGAAAAAAAAATTTGAAAAAATTTGGAAAAAGAAAAAATGTCAAAGTTTCATTCAGTGTATGTCAGGTGGGCTGCTCCAATTAAAATTAAAAATAAATAAAATAAAAAATTGAAAAAAAATGAAAAAAATCTGAAAAAAGAAATAATGTCAAAAAGGTTCATTCAGTGTATGTAGGTAGGCTGCTCCATTTTCAATAAAAAAAAATGAAAAAATTGAAAAAAGGAAAAATGTCAAAAACGGTTTGTTCAGTATATGTCAGGTAGGCTGCTCTATTTTCTATAAAAAAATAGAAAAAAAATTAATATATTGAAGTTTCTCTGGGGTGTAATGGATTAATTTTATTTATATTAATTTAAATGGTAAAATTCGTTTCACATGACGAGCGTTTCACATGACGAGCTCAGTGCCAGAATGGATTTAATTTGTAAACCGAGGCTCTCCTGTACTTTTTTCTAAATACTGTACAGTATGGGTGTTGTGGCTCGTGGTGACGCCGCCTACACCTCGCCTAATATTCTCCTGCTGCACACGCAACTCAGGACATAATCCATTAGCAATGCTCCGGGAATATTACACGGCTAAGCTGTGCCATAATGCTATAGTGCCTATGCTCTACAAGAGAGATTATACAGCTGGGCAACACTGTCGGCCAGGCACTGGTTCTTGGTTTTTGGATGCATGTTGGGTATTGTTTGTGGTATGTATTGTTAATCACTGTGGAGCACAGCCCCGAATGTCATCAAGTTTTGATTTACTCTTTCAGCGACTGAATCTTTTCAGTGATATCTGGACACTTATTTATTGAACGTCATTCAATGCCTGACTGAACCCTTTTATATACATTGGAACCTTTCTGTATTTGTAATTGATCATATATATTATGTTCCCATTTGCTAACTAAGTCATATTAGTTCCTCATATTGAATATTCCCTCTTGTTCTTAGATACCAGTATTTGGACTTTGTTTGATCCATAAACTGCTCAGCTTTAGGGGGCAGGGAAGCGAAAAATATTAAATTATGTAAAAATTACTTAAAAATGTTAAACAAATCTCCAACTTATTGGCTTCAATTTCATGAAACTTTCATCAAAATATTTTCAGAAATTGATTTTAGACAAATATTTAAAAAAACAAGTTTTGTTGATAAGGAGAACAGCTTCTATTAACTGCAACTGATGGATAATGCAATTATAAAGAGATGCAAGCACCTGTCCGACACAGAAGAAGAATAGTAGTAAGAAGTGTCTGCAAAGTGGATATGTAGCTGGTGCCTTTATAGCATTGGTGAGTAATACATAATAACACAAATAATAATGAGTAAGTATGTTATTATGCTCTATTTTATTATATATCATAATAAAAACATTGCCCATTGTTATTATCAGTTACTTTCAACAATGTCCAAAAAATATTTTTTTAAAGGATTTTTTTTTTTAGGTTTTAATTTTTTCCTCCTTGTTTATTATTTGAATTTGTTGTAACCTTTGCATCCTGGAGCGTGCATACCCGTCCCTAAATATGTGAAGACAGGATTAAATTGGTCAACAAATAAGTCAGTCAGATCTTGGGACTTTGAATTTTTTTTGGCTGAATTTTTCACAGATTTCAAACATAATTTTCCTTGTTTCTTTAGGTTGTTTTGATGATTAGGGATGAAATTAGGGCTTTTCTGGGGGGAGCCCCCTACGGCTCCCCAGAGCTATCTAGGTCGATATGGATATCCCTAACTTTGGCATCAGTCAATGTGCGTAGAGTTCTAGGCCTACCAGGGACCACGAGTCCCAGTAGGCCTAGAACTCCACGCACATCGACTGACATCGACACCTGGCCCCCTCAGAGAGGCACGGGGACCAGTAGCCCATAGAATGCACATGTGATTTTGGAGCATTCTATATCTGCCATCGGGACAGGCACCCAGAAAGGTAAGCGCCTCAAAACAAACCCCTATTCTGGTTAAAATGACAAAAATAGACAAACAAGTGGACGGAACTCCCCAGTTGAAAACGAGCAAACGAGCATGACGTCACACGAGCTGTGCCACATGTCTGCACAGCAGCCCCAGACCCCCGTGCTGGCAATCCACACCCCAGTTCTGAGGCTGGATGTCAAAAATGTGTGAAAAAAATGCCAACTGAAGGGAGTGAGGGTTGCCGGGGAGCCTCCGGGTCTCACCCCCAGAAAATGGCATTTTTCATATCAAAAATGCACCGCCGACCCAAAGTGACACAGGCCCGACTAGGCCCAGGAACATTAACGAGGTAGCGTGTAGCAGGGCCCTGTTATATGGGCAAAAACCCGGTGACCAAATATCAGCTCAGGACATTACCGAAGACGACAGCAAGCATAGCAAACTTACGAATGTCATGGGCACAGGGATAGATCGCAGGCTGGCTAGACTGAATAACATTGTGGATGACCTGAGAGACCTGACCCTGAGAACAGGGAAGAAGGGAAACCGGATCAACGCAAATCGCGTCTCCATCTACAGAGGCCATTGTGCGCAAATTATGGTGGAGAGCTGCAACCGAACTCAACACATGATGCACCCTTGGCCTGGCCAACCAAGTATCAACAACCCAAGGACCCCTCCAGAAAGCAGCAGTCTCATTCTTCACCAGAAAAGGAGGAGATGGCTGCAAATGAACAAACCTATCACCACGACCAAAAGAGCTGGAAACCCTGCGCCAGAGGAGAATATGAAGCTCCCCATCCCGACCCCCAGAGGCCAATGCCAACAAAAAAAAAGAGCCTTGGAAAAACAATCCTGAACCGAAGGGGCCACAACAAACAAGGGAGAAGAGAGGAAAGAGAGCATTCTGTCCAAAGACCAGGACGGCTCGGGTGTCGCATGAGAAGGCCGCAGGTGAAACAATGCCCATGACAGCTTCCGAAATGATGCAGATGTAATATCAATTCTGAAAGCAAGCTGCAGCAGCTCTGCCAACTCCGCACGATACGAAGCAACAGTATTCGGCATGAGATGGTCCTGAAACAGCCACGAGAGAAAGGACACAACAACTTTAACAGAAAGAGAAGTACACCGATGAAGAGACAAAGAACCGGAAGGACCGCCAGGAAACTTCATACTACTGCCGAGATGAAGCCTGCAGGTGGGACACTATCAAAGAAGCCACCTGATCACCAGACAGATGGTGATAGACTCGAGTCATAGAGACCAAACGTGAAGATTTGAGGAGAAGAGCAAACCAGTCTTGTAACGAACCAGATGTTCTGTTGAAAGAGGTGGAGCCCTGGAAAAACCTCCTTGCTGCTCTGAGCAAGCACCTGAAACCAAGACTGGGCCGGCCACCATGGGGCCAAGAGGACAACGCTTCCCTGTAAGTCTCCAAGCAAGCTAGAACTTGGAGCAACTGCTGAACCGGGGGGTAAGAGGTATAGGAACCCCCACCTCAACCAGCCCTGCCGGAAGGCATCGTTCCCGATGGCCTTGCGGTCAGGAAAGGGCTCCACATATATCGGAAGATGCCTCGACCATGCCGGCACAAAAAAATCCACCTCCGGGCACCCGAATGTCTGTCAATACCAGGATGTTGGACCCCCCCCCCCCAGGACGAGAACCGCCTGGACAGCCAAACCCAGAGAACTCAACAGACGAGTCACCCGAAGCAACCAGCCCCAAAGAGCCAAGGACCACATCGAACCTCCTCAGTTCAGGCAATGAACCACTGGGAAGGGAAGCAGTCTGAATGGAGCCGGATCATTGATTCGCATGCGACCCGAACCTTCTGAAGCGCAAATCACACCTCCGTGAACTCCCTCACCGTGATGTGGGCCCGGCGGAAGGACGGACCCCACTGCCCCTGGCCGGCCTGGTGAGCACTGGTCACAAAGTCCCTGCCGAGAGACGAAGCGTCCGTGAACACATCGAGCGAGGGCTCGGGTAGGCGCCATGGCACTGAACTCCGAAAAACCTGAAGAGGAAATCAGCGATGCAGCAGCCGACACAAGGCCCCTGGGGGTCAAACTTATGCTTACTGGCTGAGTTTTTCTTTGTTTAACCACTGTAATGTGCACCTGGTTTCGGCAAAATCTTCTTAGTGCAATTGTCAAGGACATATTTTTGTTGTTTTTATAAATATTCGGGTAAAGTTAAAGTCAAAATGTTTCCAAACTCGACTATTTCCATTTCAAAAGACACAGAGTAAAGAAAACATTTAAAAAGATTAAAATATAGCCTAATTAAAAAAAAAAAGCACTACTCTCAGAGCGCCTAAAGGCGCTTTGTGCAGTGCAGTGGTTAAAGTGGATCTTTGATAACGAAGCTCCCATCGCTTCATAGACAGCCAGCTCCTGATGTTGGCTGTCAGTAGACAAAGTGCATCTCAGATGCCTGGTGCATCTCCCTAAGGCTTGGCACTAACGAGGACCTCACCAGAAAAGACCACTGTACAAGTACAGTAATATAATTTTAAATAAAGAATTATACCATAAATCATGTGCCTATTATATAAGATTGAATCTCTTTTAACAAATACAGTACTGTGTAATGACAATTCATTTTATTTAATTCCCTCAGGTCGCTATGAAGATATTTTTTCTGATGAGGTAAATCAAGATATTGCCAGGCAATTAACTGGACTTGCAGTTACCTGCATTGACCGCAATGGCACTGGAAAGTAAGTTTTTTTTGTAGTTTTTAAATGCAAATATAATATAGGACATCTTAATCAATTCAAATTGATTAAGATTAATTTCTTTCATTTTTTTTCTAAGATTGTTAAAATGTATTTCCTGATCATGGGAAAAATAATAAAAAATCATACCTGACGTATTTTGGCTGCAATAGGGGTGAGGAAGTCTGGCAACACTGAGGCACTGACAGAGTAAGCGACCTGTGCTGATCTCGTCTGCCCGTGCCGTCATGCGGGAGTTGCCACAAAGTTGTTATTACTTAATTATTTCAATGTCTCCGATTGAGTTTTTCTCTATTTTTTTTGCAGTAATATTATTCAGTAGTGTATAGTATGATATATTTATATAATAAAATGTGTGAACCATTGCTATGCAGTGGTACCTTGGTTTACAAATGCCCCTCCTTACGAACTTTTCGGGTTACGAACCCGATTTCTTCGGAAAATTTGAATCGGGTTACAAACTTTACCTCGGGATACGAGTTTGTTGATACGCTTATGGTTGACCAAGCGCTTGGTGGAATGGTGATTGCACCTCAGTTTCCCAGTGCCTCCCGCCTAGTGACTATCCCGCCTGAATTCTTTGCAAGGATTTGCAGTTTCTTTTTGGATTTTTGGCTATTTGAACATAAAAGTTATTATATATCTTGCCATGGGTCCCAAGAAAGCCAGTGGTAAGGTTCAAGGCAAGAAAACCCATGTGAGAATGACCATAGAGGAAAAACAAGAGATCATTCGTAAACTTGAAAATGGTACACGTGTTGTTGAATTAGCTAGGCAGCATAACACATCTTCAGGGGAGGAGGAGGAGGAAGCAGTAGAGGATGTCCCTTCCTCATTAATTGAGAAAATGTGTGCAGTATGGGAAGAACTGCAAAGTTTTGCTGAAAAGAATCACCTAGATAAAGCTTTAGCAGGCCATTGCATTGCTCTTATTAATGACAATGTGATGTCTCACTATAGACAAGTGTTACAAAGAATGGAAAAACAATCTCCAAGAAAAACAGTGAGAAAATCATGCAGTGAGCCAGAAGCAGGTCCTAGTGGTATGCAGGCAAAACGTGCCAGTGTGTGTACCCCAGAGAAGTCATCACGTCCTGATGTTATAATGGAAGAGGGACTTCCCTTCCAAACAGTAACACCTCTCCTCCTCCCCCCTCCTCACTATCTTCCATATGCCAACAGGAGTCATCAGTAAAGGTAAGTAATAACTTGTACATACTTTTGTAGTGAAGATTTGGGTGAATTAGGTATAAAATTTACTTTGAAGTGAGTCAGGTGTCAGAAGTCAGGAACGGATTAATTCATTTCCCATTATTTCTTATGGGGAAATTTGCTTCGGTTTATGAATTTTTGGGTTACGAACTGTCTCCAGGATTGGATTAAATTCGTTAACCAAGATGCCCCTGTACTCAAGAGTATGGTGTGCATATTAGTAATTCAATTATGATGTTCATAAAACAATAAACAAATAGTTTTGCTGTTATTACACTGTATGCACACACATTATATGTATGCATGTTTTGTTCACCATAGCAAACCACTAAGTTGGTATGGTAAGTCCAAAGAACAAGAGTGGGCTGCCACACCCAGCCAGCAGATGGTACCTCCCTCCCTCCTTCAACACCTTACTCGCCAACATTACTCCTCCCACAATACTGTTTGTGGTTTTATTACACTATATTTACATGTTATATATAAGTACATGTTTTATTCACCATAACTGTACAGTACAACTAAACTGGTATGGTGTCCAAACAGCATAGGGGCCACCATATACTGCATGACAAGTCGCACAGCTGCCAGCCAGTCCAGACAATAACACGTTGCTATACAGAGTCAGCTGACGACGCCACCACTCCCTCTCTTCCTCCTCACCAAGATTTCTCCTCCCACCATACTATGCACAGTACTAATTATCACCACAATCCTGCTATTATCAGAATCCTGGTCACTAAATCTTGTAAATGAACCATTTCCCCAAGTTTATTTTGTAAAGGAACATGAGAAGTCATTTAAAGAGTCTTAGATGGATGAAACAATGAACAATGGCAGTGTGCTGTGGTTAGCACTATGAACATCTTGAGCAGCATTGTGTTCAATGATATCTGAATATTGTACATAGTCTTTATCACAGTCGAGCTCTTCTGTAATACAGTGGAATCTCGGGTGACAAGCGGCTCCATCTACGAGCACTTTAGGTAATGAGCGGCTCCATCTACGAGCACTTTAGGTAATGAGCGGCTCCATCTACGAGCACTTCAGGTAACGAGTGAGCCACTTGCAGAAAATTTGCCTCGATTGACGAGCTTCCACTTGGTTAACGAGAAAACAGTGTGGTGCTTCCTTGCGTTCTCGCAAAGTCTCGGACGCCTCCATGATGCAAATCAATGATTTTTTTTTAAAAAGATGCTAATGATGCTGGGATGTAAAAGGGTGACTGCTGTAATGTTGCAAAGTACAGTGCATCGTCACTAACGAACCCTGCTCTAGCAAATTCCCGGAAGATTCGAACAAATTGAATTCGGTACTAAATGTTCAGTGGAACATACAAATGTTCGATTAAGTGAGGAGTGTTCATCCAAGCGATCTCCGAGACCGAGTTGTCATAGTTGATGACAGCCACTGTCATCAACTATGATTCACCAAAGTGTAAACAGTTGTACAGTATTATATTTTACTGACCCATTGTTTCCAATGAGAAATGGTTGAAGGATGATAAAATGGTGTTAGGGGAGGCAGGTTGCATCATTGGTGAGGGTTGGAGTCTGGGGGCAAGTGGTGTCAGTAGTTGGGGGTTTAGTGTCAGGAGGCAGGTGGTGTCAGGTGTTGTCAGGGGAGGCAGGTGTTGTCAGAGGAGACAGATGATGTCAGGTGTTGTCAGGGGAGGCAGGTGTTGTCAGAGGAGGCAGATGGTGTCAGGGGAGGCAGGTATTGTCAGGGGAGGCAGGTGGTGTCAGGGAAGGCAAGTGGTGTCAGGTATTGTCAGGGGAGGCAGGTGGTGTTGGGTGTTGTCAGGGGAAGCAAGTCATGTCAGGTGTTGTCAGGGGAGGCAGGTGGTGTTGGGTGTTGTCAGGGGAAGCAAGTCATGTCAGGTGTTGCCAGAGGAGGCAGATGGTGTCAGGTGTTGTCAGGGGAGGCAGGTGGTGTCAGGTGTTGTCAGGGGAGGCAGGTGGTGTCGGGTGTTGTCAGGGAAGGCAGATGTTGTCAGGGGAGGCAGATGGGATTAGTGGTAAGCTCTGGTTATCAGTTATCAGCTAGTTGGCAACATGTCAGGTGTTGTCAGGGGGTCTGGTAGCTGAGTGGACAGTGCGCACACTGTCATTCTGTGTGGCCTGGGTTCGATTCCAGGACTAGGCAGAAACAAATGGGCAAAGTTTCTTTCACCCTGATGCCCCTGTTACCTAGGAGTAAACAGGTACCTGGGAGTTAGACAGCTGTTATGGAGCTGCTTCCTAGGGATGTGTGTGTGTGTGGAAAAAAAATATTAGTAGTTTTTAACAGTTGATTGACACTTGAGAGGCGGGCCGAAAAAGCAAAGCTCAACCCCCGCAAGCACAATTAGGTGAATACGTGACTGGCGCCTCCAAGCTCCACCACGATAGTTCACTCACTCTCTGCTTTTCACCAAATTAGCTGAGAAAATGTTAACATTTCAGTTGTTTGTAGCACATTGCTCTATTATATTCCATAGTCAAAATTTAGAATTCATAATAAATGGTGGTCAGTGGTGAGGGGATGTATTAGGGATGGGGGGGGGGGGGGTGGAAAGGTGTCGGGGAAGGAGGGTGCGAGTGTAGACGTGTCCACTCGGTCTGGCCCCTCTCTGCTGACTCAGCAGCACATGGCTGCCTCTATACTAAAGTCACTTGATGCTTTTCACAAAATTAGGAGAGAAACTTTTACCATTTCAGTGGCTTGTAACACATCACTCTGTCATATTCCTTAGTCAAAATGAAGAATTAATAATAAATGGGTGTGTCAGTGGTGAGGGGGATATATTGGGGGGGGGGGTTAGGAAGTCAGCTAGCCTCTATAACAGTGTTGAATGTGACGCCTCTAAGTCTGGCCTGAGTGACCAGCTGCCTCAATACAGCCTGTACTAAACTCGAGAATATTTACCATTTCAGTTGCTTGTAACATTGCTTTATTATATTACTTAGTCAAAATGAAGAATTCATAATAAATGGTGGTGTCAGTGGTGAGGGGGTGGTGTCAGAGAAGTCTGGTGGTAACCTGTCATATGAAGAAAGATTGACAAAGGTTAAATTACATTCTCTACAAAAGCAAAGAATTAGGGGTGACATGATATAAGTGTACAAGTGAATGAATGGGCATAACAAAGGGGCTATTAATAGGGGTATTAAGTGTCAACACAAAATAAAACATGAAACAGTTGGTATAAATTGGATAAGTTTAGATTTAGGAAAGACCTGGGTAAATACTGGTTCGGTAGCAGGGGGGTATTGATTTGTGGAACCAATTACCACATAACTTAATAGAAGTAGGATTTCTTGATCGTTTCAAGCAAAGGTTAGACATACAGTATCCTCTTGATTTAATGACCTATATGGGGCTGTACCCAGGTCATTCTATCTAAAGGTCTGCTAAATCCGAAGGTTTAAAATGTCAGTAACTGTTTACTCATATTTGGTGAGAGCAACAGGATGGATGGTGGGTGGGCAGGGCTGGCTGGTAGGTGGGTGTGCAGGCAAGTGGGCTGGCTGGATGGTTAACTGGCTGATAGGTGGACTTGGGTGGGTTTGGGCAGGTGGGTTCGGGCGGGTGGGTGGGCTTGGCTGGGTTCGAGTGTTTTTTTTTTCATTCTTGTGTGGGTTTGAGTGGGCTTGGGTGGTTTCAGGCAGGCTTTGGGCAGTTTTGGGTGGGTTTTTGCTGGTGGATGGTCTTGGGTGGAATTGGGCAGGTGGGTTCAGATGGGTGGGCATTCTTGATTGGGTTCGGCCGGGTAGGTGGGCACTCTTGGG